ACTTCTCTGTATCTCTCAAAGCAGATGGCACAGTGCCACATTCATAGTCCATGCTCAGTAAATAGCACTGCTTGGTTGGTGCAGGCTGAGAAGTTAAGCGAGTTTCCATGGGTCACACAACTCATATAGTCATGGCCACTTAGCTGCCTCACCAAGGGCAGGTGCAGAGATTGAGATTAGGGACAATATGAGACTCCCCCATCTGGATGGAATGGCTTTGGTCAAGCTCGCTTGATCGCAGCATGGAGGCCCAAAGGACACTGTGAAGTGCCTTCCAGGGCTAACTTCTCAAATCCTTCTAGCTCTAAAAATCCCCATGAGCCTAGGGTTTCAGGAGGTCTGAGCATTAGGACGCTGTTGTTATTACAAGGGTCCTCTAGGGGGCAGTCTTCTTTAAATTTTTGACACACCATTTCCAAAAAGATTTCATATTCTTGAAATAATTGAGACAACAAGCGAACCTTCCTAAATAATAAAGATTGGCTGCCTTTCATATTGTCTCCCTCTGAACATATGGCAACAAATGTTATGTATATGAACAGCCTCCCACTCCATACTCTGGGAAAATTAATCTGAAATCATTCGTCTTCCATACGGCTGTCACCAGAAGGTATAGACTATTTTCTAGTCCAGGGGATCTTACCTTGGAGTCCATAAACTTTTAAAAAAAATATTTTGATAACTATATTTCAACATAGTTTCCTTTATAGTCCCATATATTTCTTTGCATACCTTGAAAAACATCACTCTGAGAAAGGGTCATGGACTTCACCAATGTTCCAAAGGGTTCAATGGCAGAAAAAGAGGAAAGAAACCTTGTTTTAGTCCAACCTCTTATTTTACAGATGAAGACCAAGAGGTTGTGCTCAGGATGCCATAAGAAGATTAATCTCTCTTGTTTCCTGTAGAAAATAAACTTGCAGAAAGTTCCCCCACGCCCTCCCCTCTCTCATTCCCTATTACTGTTGAGGGCATGACTATCATCCCCATCACCAGGCTCAACCTCACCATCAGCTTTAACTCATCACTAGAACTCACCAAGAGGTGTACTAGAGCCAGTAACTTGAAAGCTGATTGTTAAATTTTCAGTGTGATCACTTACACCTTAGAAATCAGCAAACAGTATATATCAGGCTTGATTTATTATTTTTGTTGATTATCTATATTTAATAAAAGAATGGGTAGAATGTTGATAATGCAGATGAAACTTTAAAATGTGTCCTGTATACATTGTTCCAGAGAGCTGATTGTTAAATATTTATCAGCACACCACTGAACTCACCTATCCAATCTGTTGTCAAATCTCATATACCTTGGCAACATCTTTTCTGGGGTAGCAAGGTGGATAAAGGGCCAAGTCTGGAGTGAGGAATACTTACTCCATCTTCCTGAGTTCAAATCTGGCCTCTGACACTTAGTAGCTGCATGACCCTGAGTAAGTCACTTGAGGCATCCGTAAAATGAGCTGAAGAAGGAAATGACACACCGCTCCAGTATCTTTACCAAGAAAATCCCAAATGGGGTCACTAAGAGTCAGACACAACTGAAAAGACTGAATAACAACAACAAAAACATCTCTTCCCTATGACCCCTTCCCTCCCGCCACTCACACACCCACCTCAAATATCTGATCTGTTTTCACATCTTGTAGTTTCTACCTCTGCGACACCTCTTCCCTGTATCCTCTTCCCTTCCCCCCTCACACAGCCAACACTCCGGTACAGGCTTTTATTACTTCTTACCTGGACTGCTGCAATAGGCTTCGAGTTGGTCTAACTGCCTCAAGGTCTCCCTACTCAATTCATCCTCCAATCAGCTGGTCAAGGTCATTTTTCTAAAGTACAGTTTTGTCTATGTCACTCACCTCCTCAATGATCTCCAGTGGCTCCCTATTACTGCCAGGATCAAATGGAAAGTCCTGTGTTCAGCAATGAAAGCTCTTCATAACCTGACTCCTTCCTATCCTCCCGCTCTTCTCCCATGTTACCCTCCTTCGCGCACTGTGCGATCCAGCTATACTAACCTGCTGGAAGTTCCTTGACCGTGATGCTCCATTGCCTAACTCCATACCTTTGCCTTAGCTGTGCCTCCTACTTGGAATGCTTTGCCTCCAACTCTACCTCAGTTTCCCTGACTTCCTTCAAGAATCGGCTCAAATCTCAATTTCTGCAGTGAGCCTTTCCCAGTCCCCCAAGGTTCTTTCAGATTACCTCCATCTACTCTGTATATATCTTGTACACACCTAGCTATTTCTATCTTCTCTCCCCCATTATAATGTGAGCTCCATGAGGTCAGAGATTGTTTTTTGCCCATCTGCATATCCCCAGCACTTACCAAAATGTCTGGCACGTGGTAAGGACATATTGACTGAGCACTGTGGGTCTCTCTAAGTCAATAAAAGCTACCTCTTCCAAAAGTCCTCCTCTATAGAGCTCTCTCTTCTCTGAACTCGACGAGCCCTTATTGTCTATACCACTTACTTAGCACTGGGTACAGATGGCAGCCTTATTTGCCTATGTTAATCTTCCTTCCAATTTTTACAATCATGAAGTCTTTGAGAGATTCTTCTCCAATTCCACTTCATCTGGCCAACTCTTGCAAAAAGCACAAAACCCAATGCTTAAAGGCATGAACTGCAGAGATCCCGGATCACATGACTTGTGGCAATGAGCCTCATCAAACTGGGATCCAAAGCTGTAACTTTGCTTGACTGCATCTACCCTCTTCTTTCTGGTGGCAACTCAAAATGCCATCTTAAGTCATTTTGGAACAGTGGAAAGAACACTGCATTTGGGGGCTCTTTCAATAAGTGATATTGTTCTCTGGGCCCCAGTCACCACAAAAAATAAAGTCCTGGGGCTATCGATCAGGCCCACTATGTTTCTTGATGTTTTAAGACTCAGTTATGCTGTGTGTATATAAGATGTACACATACGTACATACACGAAATTTAAAGTCAGATGCTTAGAGTTGGTCTCTACTGAAGTGATTGAAAAGTAAAAGTGAATCATTTTTGTCTATGGTTCCACGTGGCGCACAATACACTTTGAAGCAGATCAGCTTTTTTTCTTATAAGATGCCATTTGGAAGTTCATCCCTTTGTTCATAATTGGAATTTAATTCATTCTGTATCTTGGTTTGAGTTTCACACAAATGCCCCAAGAACACCAGAGTAAGGAGCAGTCATTTTAAAATATATCTGTCAAAGTACCTTTAAAATATTTTTTTTCTTGGGGCAGCTAGGTGGCACAGTGGACAGAGCTCCAGCCTTGGAGTCCAGAGGACCTGAGTTCAAATGTGGCCTCAGACACTTGACACTTACTAGCTATGTGACCCTGGGCAAGTCACTTAACCCCGATTGCCTCACCAAAAAGCAAAAAAAAAAAAATTTTTTTTCTTCCCACTTCCTCACTAATTATAACGAACCATCATATAGAAATAAATTCCTGTCCATTTATTCAACTTATTAAGAGATTTTAGTTATTTTCAATTAACTTACTTGGATAGCTTTTAAAATGGGATGATAATAAGCGTCCCTAAACTTTTTCTTAAGGTTTCAGCTCACTTGTCTTATCTCCTCAACAAGCCTGTAAATTTTTTGAGGGCAGGAACTATACCTCATTCAGCTAGGTGGCACAAATAAGTCTGAGTTCAAATTCAGCCTCAGGACACTGTCTCTTGTCTCTGTTTCTTTATGTCTGTCTGTCTGTCTTTCTTTTTTTCTCCACCCACTCCCTACCTCTCTCTCTCTTTAACCCCAGTGAAACAAACACTACTCCCAGAATACAAGCTCCTTGAGGGCAGGGACAGTTTCATTTTTGTCTTTCCAGTCTTTAACAAAATGCCTGGCACCTGCTTAATTAATTCTAACTGATTGATTAAATACTATCTGCCTGGTAAACAGCAAATTCCTTAGTTTTCCACATCAATGATTGGATGATGATAAGAGGGTAATAAATAACTCATTAGGGGAAAAAGTATAACATCCTCCCACGTGTTCATTGAGCTAGAAAGTGGGAAAAAATTTCAAGAGAAACATTTTTAATCAGATAGACACATCTATCTTTTAAAAGTAGCTAGATTTTTGCCCACTCCCTTAAAATAAGACTCCAAGCCAGCATAAAATGGCCAAAGAAATCATCCAATTTCCCTGATATTGTTTGATACTAAATATTCAGGCAGTCACAAGTCAGCTGAAGCCTTGTAATAAAATTCTCTAGAATTCAACAGATGGGCAGTGTCAAGGATGACTGTCCTCCCTGTAGCATGCCTGTCCAGAAAGGGCCTTCACTTTGATAAGATTCACTCCCATAAACTAAGGTGGTGCTCACTAATTGGAGAATGGCTGGATAAATTATACTATAAGAATATAATAGAATACTACTATAAGAAATGATGAAATGAATAGTTTCAGAGAAATCTGGGAAGAGTTGTATGGACTGATGCCACATGTAGGGAGCAGAACCAGAGATCTGTTTATACAGTAATAACATTGTGAAGACAAATAACTTTGAAAAACTTAAGTGCTCTGATCAGTGCAATGATCAATTGTGATTTCAAAGGACTAATGATGAAGCGTGCCACCCACCCCCTGATGGAATAAATACACAAAATGAGACATATAATTCTGGACATGATCAATGCGGGAATTTATTTTTCTTGACTATGAATATGTTACAATGGGACAGTGGGAGATAAAAGAAATATTATTAATTTAAAAAGAAGATTTAATTTAAAAAATAGAATAACAGAAGAACAAATGTGAAGAATCAAAAATGCCCATGCTCTCTGTAGCATCCTTGTACAGGATGGAGCCCAGTTTGATGAAACTGGTTCTAAGGAGCTTCCTCCCACTTGCCTGGGGCAGGTTTGCTCACTGATGAAGACAGAAAAAGCCCATCTTAGCTAAGCCTAGATCTCTCCTCTGATAAGACTTTTGACTAAGGTGACTGGCTCATCACAGGAAGCGCGCCATATCCCTTCAAAGACATCCAGTCATATTTAGCACCCAGCTTTCTGAGCAAGTGTAGCACCGACTGGGAAACCTGAAGCAGCCTGGTCCTTGGAGCCATAGGCAAAAGACAAGGTAGGAAGGAAATGAACGTTTCCTGTTTCTTTTCTCCCCCTTAGGATTTTAAGTTTTTTAATTTTTAAAAGTTTTTAATTTAAAGGTTTAAGTTCAAATTCTATCCTCCTACCCCCACCCCACCCCTTAGATGGTAAGCAATAAGATATAGGTTATACACGTGCAATTATCTCATTTGTTTTTAATGGTTGGGTGCACACACACATCTGCCACACCTTCATTGGACCCACTCAGATAGAACAATGTGCAAGCTTTGTTGGATGTGTTGTATGCACAGGGACCTTCTATGGGTAGCCTACACACCCAGGCACAAGCCAGACTTTGTACTCATATGGTCACTATAGGGCTCACTATAGGGTACATTCCTATTCTTAGCTCCTATCTACTTGCAAGGCCCATTTTTTTTTTGCAGTCACATATACAGCATGCACATATACCCACCAGGGCCCCATTATCCGTTCTGAATTAATGCACACACGCATTTGCACACACACACACATGCAGGCTATTTGTCCACCCACAGCACTCATGCACGCATTTGCCAAATAAACTTATTTTTCCCATTGAAAATGACAACTAGCTCAGCCCTGCTCACACTTCACAGTAAACTTGTAAACTACCCATTCCCAAAGTTTCTTTACTGCTGCTCCCTTGCTGACCTACTGAGCTTTTGTTCTTTGACCTAATTTGAAATACATGGCTACCAAACCATTTCATTTTAGTAATCTCTTCCTCAGCCTGACTTAATGTGTTTGTCTCATTCCCTGACTGGTCACAACTATTGTTAATGTGTAGGGTCTCTCAGGCAGCATGGGGCTGGGGAAAGTGGGCTGGATTTGAAGTCAAAGGCAGCATTGTGTGGTGGTTAGAGAATTAGACTCTGTGTCAGGAAGGCCTGGATTTGAATCCAGCCTCGGATACTTACGGGCTATGCAGCTCTGGGCAAGCCAATTAATTTCTCTGTGCCTCAGGTTCCACATCTCTAAGATGGAAGTGAAAGGTTGGATTTGATGATTCCTGAGGTTCCTTCCATACTGCATCTGAATCTCATCTCTATCACTTGCAAGCTACCTGAAGGGGCAAGTCATTTAACCTTGATGGCCCACAGCTCCCTTATCTCCAAGATGAGGCTGGTTAGATGAGGTGAGCTTGAAAGTCCCTTCCAGATAGAAATCTATCTTCCTATGACTTCATCTAAATTCTCTTGAGGGCAAATGATGAGGTATTATGGGGTATGCACTGCCTGCTGGGAGATACCAGAGTCCAGCCATTGGCAAATATGCACAAATAACTTAAATTACCTCTAACTGCATAATATAATGTATTCCCTTATACACACATGCTGAGAAGGCTGTTTCTATGTGCTATAGGAGCCCCAACTAAAGATGGGCACATCTGTATCAACTAAGCATTCGGCAAACCCTGATGTGGCATGCGTATGTCATTCGAATTATTTCTCAGCAGGATTTGCCCTTTTGGGAAACAAATGACCAAACAAATCAATGAATAAACATAAAACTGAATAAACTACCATAGAGAATGAGGCAAAAGTTTTACAGTTAAATACAAATATTAATTTTCTGTAGGTGGAATCTGTATCAAATTGCATTTTAAAGATAGCATGATGTACTTTGATGTCAGTAGAAACTCTTGACTTGGAGATTGCAGGAAATGTACAGCAAGTGAATTTGGCTAAAATAATAATGACCACAATGAATATTTCTATTGGGCTTTAAATTTACAAAGAAGCTTATGTGTGATGTCTTATTTGACCCTTGACAACAATCCTGTGAGGTAGGGGCTATTGTTATCCCATTTTACATATGAGGAAACTGAGGCAGAGAAAGATTAAGTGACTTCCCTGAGTCACTCAGCTAATGTCTGAGGCAGGATGTGAACTCAAACCTTCCTAATTCCAAGTCTGACATTCTACTCACTATGTCACATATGGGAGCTAGGTGGCACAATGGACAGAGCACTGGGCTTAGAATTAGAAAGACTCATCTTCATGAGTTCAAATCCAGCCTCAGACACCTACTAGCTGTGTGACTGGGCAAGTTATTTAACCTTGTTTGCCTCAGTTTCCTCAGCTGTAAAATCAGTTGAAGAAGAAAAGGGCAAATCACTCCAATATCTTTGCCAAGAAAACCCTAAATGGGGTCACAAAGAGTTGAACACTACTGAAAAATGACTCAACAACATGCCACATACTTGACTCTAAACAAATTGAGAATATGTAAATTGAGAAATAGGGGGCTTTAGGAATGCAGGACAATAGCAGGGAGGGGGGAGTTTCCTTCAGTGTCCTTAGGGGTAGTAATGGGAATGTAGACTCCAAAGGAGGCCCCACTGTCCCATTGTAACATATCCCACAATGCAGATGACTCAAGTTACAAAATCTCAATTTATATTCTCTTCCAGGAAGAGAGGTACACCTTTGAGTTGTGAGGTTAAGAAAGAAGAGTCCATTTTCTGCTCTCTGTGCCTCCCCTCCTCTTTCAAGCCCTCCCCCTCCCCAGCAGATGAAGACTATGATAAAACCTGCAGGTTTTCTTCCTAACCAGCCTAGCGAAAAGCCTCAGTCGGTTGATTTCTCCTTTCACCTTTGCTAACTTGCTGACTGGTGTTAAATATGACTAAGTACCATACAAGGTGATAAGAACTCTAGTTTGTCAAACCACCTAATTTTAGTGAGCTCCCCTGCCTGGCTTTGCAGGTCTCCAAGTGAAAGCTAGCCAACCACTTGTCAGGAAGGCTGGAGAAGGAAATCATAATTCAGGTCAGGGTTGGTTTACATGGCAGCAAGATTTGTTCCAGCTCTTAGTATATAAAGGTCTGACTTCCTTTCTGCCTCCTTAAATGTGTGGCTGTGCGTGTGTGTGTGTGTGTGTGTGTGTGTGTGTGTGTGTATGCGTGTGCATGTTTGCCCACACACGTGTGCTTATATATTTCATTGCTGGGAGAGCTCCCCAAAGTTTCAAAATAATGAGTACTAAAATTATCCCATTGACTGGATTCCCACTCTTGTCCCATATAGTCGCCTTCCCATTGACAACCCCTCTGAATTTAGCTCAATTATTTCCAAAAGAATTGTGTGGAATAGTGAAAAAAAAGTTAAAAAGTGCAAGATTTAAAATCAGAACATCTGGGTTCTGATGCTAGATCTGGGTAAACCTGGGTTAACCTGGACAAGTCATCTAAAGTTTTCGGGCCTCAGTTTCTTCATCTATAAAATGAAAGCATGACCAATCTCCAAGGTCCCTTCTTGTTCTAAAGCTACAACTCCATTGTCCTCAGTCTCATTTGGGCTATTTCAAATTAAGCCAAATCATCTGGTATTAATTAAGCCCTTATTATGTGTCAGGCACTGCACTAAGTGCTGGGGATACAAAGAAAGGCAAAAAGCCTCTTCCTTCACAGTCTAATGAATAATAATTAATAGCAAATGACTGGAGAGAAACAAGATAGTTTGAGATGTGCCATAAGTTTTAGCACAGTTTAAAGCTACAAACAAAGTAGATGGAAGACATTCCAAGAGGAGAAGTCACTAGCCGGTGATAGGTGAAAGGCTTCTTAGAGTAAGTCGGATTAGAGCAAATCTGAGTCTTAAAGGAAGGCAGGTGAACTAAAAGGCAGAAATTAGGAGGTAGAACATTCCAAGTGTGGAGGACAACTAGTGTAATGGCAAGGAGATGACCGATGAAGTCTTGTACTGGAGGAACTACAGGGAGGCCAGGGTGGCTGTACTGTAGAATTCGTTCTTTGCTGTTTTTTAGTTGTTTTTCAATTGTGTCTGACTCTTCATGACCCCACTTGCTCTTGGCAAGGATACTGAAATGGTTTGCCATTTCCTTCTCCAGTTCATTTTACAGATGAGGAAACTGAGGCAAACAAGGTTATGCGACTTGCCCAGGGTCACACAACTAGCAAGTGTCTGAGACCAGATTTGAACTCACGAAGAGGAGGCTGGCACTCTATCTACTGCACCACCTAGCTGCTCATAGAATTCATGGAGGGGAGTAAAGTTGGAGAAGACTGGAAAGGTAAGAAGGGCCCAGGTTATAAAGAGCTTTAAATTCCAAACAAAAAGTTTATGTTTGATGCTGGAAGTAATAAGGAGCCACGGAGAGCACTGAGCAGGCAGAGTGACATCATCAGACCTGCACATCAGAAAAAATCATCTAATTAATTATAGCTCTTCCCTCCACTAAAAATTCACTGTGATACCTCAAGATGGTATGGAGGTTCTCCTGCGTCCTCATAAGTCTAAGTCAGCACAACAAAAATCCTTCATCCAGGAAAGACCTTAGAGACTGGCTGTGTGTCGATACCATAATGAGCCGCTGCAACACAACTTTACATATATAAACATCTACAGAGATGGGAGGAGGGGCACAGATTTGTAGGGGGAAAGTTTATCTAAGAACTGAGAATATCCAAATGAGTTATGTATTGAATATTTCAGTGTGACTTCATATTTCTGTCAAAAACACCTGGCTGGAAGGCTTTGAATTCTTTTCAGCCCTTCCCACTGACTGCAATGGTGTAGAACTTGGACAGAAAAATGCCTTAAACCTGGGCTTTCTCACCTTGTCTTCTGTGACAAATTTTTGAAACTCACCACGTTGGTGACAGAGGGATGAATTTTGGGGTGACAGCCATGGTCTTAGAGTCAAATCTATAAACTTTTCCTCAATGCTAACTAAATGTCAGACACCGTGCTAAGTGCTGGAGATACAAAGAAAAGCAAAAACAACCCCTGTTCTCAAAGAGCTTACAGTCTAACGGAGAGCCAACATGCAAACAACCAAGTACAAACAAGATATATGCAGGTTGAATTGAAGTGAGTCTCTGGAAGAAGGCAGTAGCAGGTCAGGGGGAGAACCAGGGAAGGTATCTCGCAGAGGTAAAAGTTTAACTAAAACCAAAAGAAATCCAACAGAGTCAAAAGGCATAGATGGGAAGGGAAAGCATTCCCCGCATGAGGGACGGCCAGTGAAAAGGCACGCAGTAGGGAGATAGAGCATTGTATATGAGGAAAAGTAAGGAGGCCAGGGTCACTGGTTCCTAGAATAAATGGAGGGGTGTAAAGTGTAAGAAGACTGGAAAAGTAGGAAGGAACCAGGTTATTAAGGGCTTTAAAGACCAAACAGAGGATTTTATATTTGATCCTGGAGGTAACAAGGAGCCGCTGGAGTTTATTGACGAGGGGAGGTGATATGGTCAGACCTGTGCTTCAAGACGGTCTTAAAGACCAAGTCATTGAGAGATTGCAATTTGCAGTGGTGGACGGAGTACCCCCTACCACCATGAAAGTATATCCTCAACATACTGATCCTTGTCCTCAAAACTTTCACTACCAAAAGTCCTTACTGCTTAAAACTTGCATATTTTTTTTTAAATGCAGCTCCTCTTTCTCTCTGGATCCTGGTATTCCCCCTTGCATTTCCTTCCTTTGCCTACTTCCCAAGCTCTGAGTCACCAAAAGCTGAGTTGCCAGTGGGAGAAGTAATCATTCACAGGAAATTTAGACATTTTACCAGCCTGCAGTATAGTTTATGTTGAGAAATACTGACTTGTATTCTCCATGAGGGAGATCTGAGTTTCCAGCTTGTAAAAGGTCTAATGATGATATTCATGAGGATGAACATGAAATAATACTGGGGGAATGGTCCATTGTGGGAAACTCCTGATGTGCAATCTCCTTTCACTGATACATACTGGCATTGTTCTGCAGTGTATAGTCATAGGGAGTTGCATAGGGCATGGAGAGATGATGTGACTTGCCCATGGGCACACAATGTGTCAGAGACAGGTCTTGAACCCAGGCCTTCCTTACTTTCAGGTTGCCTTCTATCCACTACACCATGCTGCCTTTCATGAACGGTTATGTATTTATTTATTTTAATTCAGAGTAGCCTTGGTTGATTTCACTACTATAAATACATTCTTCTCTTTTTCCCACCTCTTCCAGTTGAGTCTACTTCAGAGGCGATGGAAACCACTTTGGACTATAGCAACTATTACATCTATGACCTCCCCAGTCCTTGCAGCAAAGGGGGAGTGAGGGACTTCGGAAAACTCTTCTTGCCCCCATTATATTCCCTGGTGTTCCTATTTGGTCTGCTGGGCAACTTCATGGTGGTTTTGGTCCTACTGAAATACAAGCGGCTTAAGTCTATGACTGATGTGTACCTGCTCAACCTCGCCATCTCTGATCTGCTCTTTGTTTTTTCCCTTCCTTTTTGGGTCTACTATGTTGCTGACCAGTGGGTTTTTGGAACAGCCTTTTGTAAAATCATCTCCTATATGTATTTGGTTGGGTTTTACAGTGGCATATTCTTCATCATGCTCATGAGTGTAGACAGGTACCTGGCAATAGTGCACGCTATTTTTGCTTTGAGAGCCAGAACTCTGACCTATGGGGTTATTACAAGTCTAGTTATATGGTCGGTGGCCATGTTAGCCTCACTTCCAGTCTTGTTATTCAGTACATCTTACACGGAGAATAACAACACCTACTGCAAAGAGAAGTACCCTGGGAATTCAACCACCTGGAAGGTTCTGAGCTCTCTAGAAATCAACATCTTAGGGCTCTTGATTCCTCTTGGAATCATGCTCTTCTGTTACACCATGATCATCAAGACCCTGCACCGCTGCAAAAATGACAAAAAAAACAAGGCAGTGAAGATGATCTTTGCAGTCATGGTCGTGTTCCTGGTGTTCTGGATTCCATACAATATTGTGCTCTTCTTGGAGATCCTGGTAGAACTGGAAGTTTTCCAGGACTGTACCTTTGGCATGCAGCTCGACTATGCACTCCAGGCCACAGAGACCCTGGCTTTTATTCATTGCTGCCTCAATCCAGTCATCTACTTCTTCCTAGGGGAAAAGTTCCGAAAATACATCAAGCAACTCTTCAAAACCTGCAGGGGACCTTTAAGGATCTGCAAACACTGTAGTTTTCTCCAAGTTTATGCTTCAGAAATACCCAGTTCATCTCACACTCAGTCTACTATGGATCATGAAATCCACGATGCTTTGTAAATGACAGCAGACTGCCTTCCTTCAGGGGAAAGAGGAACTGACACCCCTTGAGTAATCGCAGGGCTCCCTATTCAGGTTTTAGTCAATAAATGTTCAGTCAGAGTGTCAATCTGTCCCTCACCCTGAAATGGGCTTTTCTTCTTATAATGTGCATAATTCTCAGAATGAGCCATTGTCCATCTGGGCTAAGAAACCTTGCCTTGTTTCTGGTATCCCATAACAAGAACAGCATCTTGGGTGATGATTTTAAGAAACCCTATCTGAGAAAAACATCAATAAGGTGACAGATAATAAAGATGGGGATGCTATTAAAATGTAGCCTGAGATGACTAGGCAGCCAAAGGTTATCAAGATGGCAAAAAGAAAAAAAAAGACCCAGAACATTTGAGATCGGTCAGGCTGTGGTTCTTCATTTCCAGCCTTGTGTGTGAGAAGCCAACGGAGAGCAAAGGTTTCTGATTGCTTTCCACCTATTACAGTAGATTCGGTTTTGGTTTTTGGTTTGTTTTTTTTTAATTCTGGACTGTTGCCATCATATATTCTTGTTTGAATCTTTTAGGCATGATGCATTTTATAGACTGGTGGTCTCAAGCTCAAATTTTGTTTGTTTGAAGTTGATAAGTCTTCTCCTTGCACTACTTCTGCCTAAAACCCTATTTCTTTTCACAGAGATTCATTAATCCAATTGCATCTAAACAAATGGCTCACTGCTTTACCTGGGGAATGCAGCAAGAAGCCCCATGCCCATGGTTTTGAGATCCTTGATGTAAATCAATCATGTACCATATACATATATATATACATATACATACATGCATATATACATATATATATGCCACTGGTTTGGATTAGCAAATAAGCAAATTAATTGATTAAGGATGTTTATAACTTTATTGTAATGAAATAATGTGTTAGCTTAAGTAAGACCTCATGTGTTGATAGAATCACCAATGTGAAATATAAATCATGCAAAATCCGTATTTACATATTGAGATTCAGACACATTTTCATACATTTGGTTGCGAAAGGCTTTAATCAAGGTAGAATATTTAACTTAATGAAGACTCAATAGAAAGAGGACCTTCAATCTACTAAGTGTTAATAGTGTTCCTTTAAGCATTCTTAACCTGTTCACAAACAAGGCCTTCCTAATCCATCATTAACTGTATCCTAGATGGAAAAAAACATTTATGAGTCATTCTATTTGCTTAAAGAGGAATGGCAATGTGTCTCTAATCTTTCCAAAGCCCATGCTGTCAGCTGGTGTTATAGTCACTCTCCTACCAGCATTGTATCCTTAAGTAACTGCTATTATGTCATCTCGTATTGGGAACAAAACCCCACATCAGGGAATATATGTATCACTTACACTTCTAAAAATTTTGTCTCAAATTTTCTCCTCTTCAATTACACAGAAATTCAATTACTTAGGTCTTATATATGTTGTATTAGTCATGTAGCCAATTTAAATAATTCCAGAGAAATTCTAACTATTACTCATCAATAAACCAAATGAACAGAACGAGACAGTGATGGCCATCCAAGTCCTGGGCTATGTAAATGCTACTGATATAATCCATGTTCCCACGAGGAAATTTACTTAATGTTTTCACACTGATTCTTTGCAGTAAGTGTTATACATTGGATTGTAAGATAATTTGTTTTTCGAGCTACCTTCTTCAATGCACAGTTACATTGTATACGAAAATAAAATAAACTTGTATATATTTCAAGTGAACTTTTCCAATCAGCACTATAAAATTACTGAAGATCTAAATGTTCTCATCCCCATTGTTTTTTACAAGTATCATTTCACAAGAAATCCTCCAAAGGTGGGGGTCTGAGGACTGTTTGGAGACCTATTATGAAAGGATGCAGAACTAAGGGTAATGAAGCAAGGCACCTGGACAGCACAAAGCATGGGTGAGCCACAAAATAATGTTGTCAAGACATTATCAAACTTACCAGGTCATCTCATTGCCAGATGTCAGCATGACTTAGCCCCTGCTCTGGGCCCAAAGGGTACTGTGCTCCCATTCCCTGTTGTTTCTGTTCCTCCTTGTGACTATGGAACTAACTGGTCTCCGAACCATTGTTTCACCTAATGGCGTGTCTTCATATAATGCCACTGAGGTATTCTTCTATGAGATGAGATGGAATAGACCTGGAGAACAAGGAAAAACACAGGAAGGTGACAGCCATGGGTTGTGACTCCTTATTGTGATTCTTACATCATTAGGTTGTAAGTGCCTTCAAAATCACATCCCAGACTGGATAGGAAAAACAGGTATCTGTGATTAGCAGGCAGTGGAAGTGAGGGAAGGTGAACACAAATGGATCATGGGTCTGGATCAAAAGGATAGGGAGGCAGCATGGTTCAGGGGAAAGAGCATTAATGCTTTCTAGTCAGATGGACCTGGGTTCAAATCTCACCTCTAACATTCACTACCCGTGTGACCTTGGACAAATAACTTAACCTCTCTGGGCCTCAGTTTCCTGATATGTGAAATAAAAGTTGTGGGGAGCTGATTTTTTTTTGTTTGCTTTGCTTTTTAATTCTTTGAATTCTCTCTGAGAAAAGAAAGTTCCTATAAAATAGCATATACCTCACAATCTGGGGTGACTGCATGTGTTCCTAATAAAGTAATAGACTAAAAAATGCCATCTTATCATGTGCTAGCCATAGACACAACTGTTATACAATATGTGTAGTATGACACTTTGCTTTTTTTTTTAATGAAAATAGTATTCCCCACACATTCATTAAGCACCATATCTAATCCTTGGCAATATTAAGAAGTGCTTTGTAGCTCTGAACTCCCGGCGTCAACTTTCTGCAACTTTCCTTCCCTTTCATAGCCTCCTTCCCAAGTCCTGACTAATAAGAAGGGAAAGGATGTGACAAATTCATTCTCTCTAATCTGTTGGCAACAATGTGCAACAATGAGTTTTTGTATTTTTAAGGGAGAAACTTGGAGACAGAACTAAAAAGAAATGACTCACTAATGGTGGAATATTAGGCATGGGCGTATGGAGGACCTTGACACAAAACCCTAAAACTGTACCATATCTCTGTCTTTTCCTCTCGAGTCTCACTGCCAATGCCCCAGTACAAGTTCTCATTCCTACCCTCCTGGACTACTGTGGTAATTGCTTAATAAGCCTTTCATTTTCCACAGGCTCTCTCTGCTCCCATCTCTATCTAATCCATCTCTCACACTGCTGCCAGGATAATCATATTTATGCATGTATCTGGTCAGGTCACTATCTGCTCAAAAATCCGACTCTTCATGACCCCTTTTGGAGTTTTCTTGTCAGAGATACTGGAGTGGTTTGTTATTTCTTTCTCCAGCTCATTTAACAGATGAGAAAATTGAGGCAAATCCTTGCCCAGGAACACACAACTAGTAAGACTGTTGAGGCCAGATTTGAACTCAGGAAGATGAATATTCCTGACTCCAGGCCTGGTGCTCTATTCACTGTGACACCTAGCTGCCTCCCCATTACTCACCAAGTAAATATCAAGCTTCTTTACATGAGATTTAAAGGTTTCCACAATCTGGTGCCATCCTACTTCTCCATGCTTCAACCAAACCTGACAACTCCCTTTTCTTCCAAAACATCCCTTGCTTTCCCCATCTCCAAATATTTGCTCACCATATTTGAACTGGGATGTCATACTGAGATGTAGGCATTTCAAAATCCATGTGTCCAAAATGGAACTCATTACCTTTTCCCCAAACCCACCACTCTCTCCAAATTCCCCTTATCTGTTGGAGGCATAACCATCCTTCAGGTCACCTAGCTTTGCAACTTCAGTGCCATCCTTGACCCTTCACTCTTCCTAACACTACATATAACCTCAGTTGTCAAATCTTGTCGTTTTACCCCAACATTTCTTGTGTCTCTTCTCTCCACTCACATAGCTGCCATGTTAGATCAGGCTCTTCTTACCACTAACCTGGACTGTAGGAATAGCCCCTTAATCAGCCTCCCTGCCTCAAGTCCTCTCCACTCCAGTCCATCCACCACATAATTGCCATAACAAATATTCCTAAAGTGTCTCTCCCTATCCAATAAACTCCAGTGACTTCTTATTACCACCAGACACAAACACAAAAGTCTGATTGGCACTGAGAGTCTTTCCCATCCTAGCTCCAATCTGCTATCTATCCTTCCATCCATCCATCCGTCTGTCTGTCTGTCTTTCTATCTATCCATCCATCTATATCTATATATGCACACACATACATAAAATAATTATTATTATTTCTATATATATTATATATATATATGTAGTCCAGCAAAATTGTCCTTCTTACTCTCCCTCATACATGATTTTGTGCCTTGCTACTGGCTGCCACCCATATATAGATTGTTGTCTCTACTCTGTCCTCCCCTCCATCTGTAAGAACAGAATTTCCTTCAAGGATCAGCTCAAGTACAACTTTCTCAATCACACCTTTCCAGGTGCCCTTCAACTATCTGTGCCTCTCTCCCCCACCAACCCCCATTCACCCTGTATATATTTTGTATATACCTATATGACTATATATTTTTTCTACCACTGATCTATAAAGTCCTTGAGAGTAGGCATTATTTCATTCTTTGAATCTCTACTGCCTAGTGCAGTTACTGGCTCACAGGAGAATTTGTAAGCTTGTCAGTTGATTAACTAATTGATTATTCCTGATGTCTATAGTATTCATCCTCCCTCTCTTCTCCTATTGGGGTATATGGGTGTTCAGGGAAGACTAGTTTCTCTGGTGTGAGGGCTGCCCAGCCCTTTTCAGGGCTGCTTTCCACCTCTGGTGTCCACTTGCCACCCACCTCTCACCTGTGGCTCCAAGAAGCTGTAGCATGCACAGCAGCTACACCCCAGCAAGTCATTTTGGCAGATGAGCTAAACCAGGTTGAGGGTAACCAAGGAGCCTCAGACTGGCTGGTGAGTTAAAGGGGTGTCTATGCCAAGCATGTGAAGACTTCCTGGCAGAATGGGCAGATGTGAACAATTTATGCCAACAGGCCATGAAAGTGGCAGAAGCAGACACTGTGGAGCTCTCAGAGCTTGGTTAGACATTGAAGATGCCAAGGTCATCCACTGCATCTTGAGCCATCTCCAGTTGGCTTGACTTTTGTCTTGCCACTGGACTCTGATGAGTCTGGAAGAGAGAGTGAGGCGTTGCAACTCTGCCTCACTCAAATCCAATTTATGCTCGAGTCAAAGACATCACCCATACCATTTACCATTTACCATTTTTTACTTACTTCAAAATCCTGTAGCAATGGGCAAGTGATGAAGCAGTAGGTGTGAATATAGTGGGAGTTATAGTCACAACCCTGGACACAGGCAGCCCAGGCCATTGGGTCATCTTCTCACTGGACTGAAGCAGCAGTGGGATTCAGCAGCTCCCTCCATGCAGCCCCTGAGTCTGAGCAACCTTTCAAAGGACCAAATTGCTCACCTCCTGGGATGAGGAAGATGCTAGAAAAGATGCCCTAAAAATTATCTGCTTCACTAACCTTTTCCTATTGAATTCCTGACCATGAAGCCTTCCCTGATTTCCCTTATCAATAGTGATTCCTCTCTCAAAGACCTCTCACGTGATTTTGTTTTGGACTTTTTAAATATACTTCTCATATATAATTGTGTGGTGTAGTTATTTGCATTTGCATCCCATCCCCCACTAAGAAACTGCTTCCCTACCCCCACCCCCAAACCCACCAAGAGCCATGAGAACAAGGACTTCCGTCTTACCAAAAACATACATCTTCCCCTCCCAACCTCTCCTAAGGAACAGTGTGTCTCAGAGAGTAGGTGCTAAAGAAATACTTGTGGGCCATTTTGGAAAACAATGTGAAATCATGCCAAGAGAATGACTAAAATGTCTGTACCCTCCGATCCAGAAAGTCCACTGTTGGAGTACAATCCAAGGAAGTCAAAGACAGAGATCACACACACCCCAGAATTCATAGCAGCGCTTTCTGAAGTGGGAAAAGAGCTGGAAGCAAAGCAGATGTCCATCAAGGAGGTAACGGCTAAACAAATTGTCACTCATGAATAAAGTATTTTTGTGCCTTAAGAAACGATAAATATGGGGCAGGTAGGTGGCGCAGTAGATAGAGCACTGGCCCTGGATTCAGGAGAACCTGAGTTCAAATGCGGCCTCAGACACATAACACTCACTAGCTGTGTGACCCTGGGCAAGTCACTTAACCCCATTGCCTAGCCAAAAAAAAAAAAAAAGAAATGATAAATATATAGACTATAGAGAGACATGGGAAGATTCATGTAAACTGATTCAAAGTAAGCAGAATGAATTTTTGCTAACATAAGTGCTCTACACGTTATTTCACTTGATCCTTGCCACCACTCTATGAAGTAGGAGCTACTGTCACCAGCACTTTACGGATGAGGAAACTGAGGCAGACAGCCATTATGACTTGCCCAAGGTCACTCAGCTTGGAAATGTCTAAGGCAGGATTTGAACTCTGCTTTTCCTAACTCCATGTCCAGCATTCTATGCATGCTTTAGTTGCTTATACGTAATATACCAAACTAAAGTAGAGCTTAGAAAGAGTGCTGGCTGGAGATTACAGAAACCTTCATCTGGGTGATCCTGGGAAACTCATTTAATGACTCTGGTTTTATCACTCAGAAAATAAGGAGATGGACACTCAAAATCATCATAATAATTTCTATCCACTGGACCACCTTGCTGGAAAGATCAAAAGAAAATGAAACTGAATGCTCTGTAATTATGACCAAGCATAGCCCTAGAGCAACGTTGGAAAAAATGCAACTTCCTCCCTTCTTTTCAGGAATGGGGGGCTATTGGTGTGGGACACTGCCTATGCTGTCAGACTCAGATGAAACATTGGTTACTTTTGCTGAATTAATTGTTTTTCTCTCTTTCTGGGAAGTCAAGGAAGAGAGATAAACTTGAAAATGAAACTGTGTAAAAACAAAAGATACCAATAAAGCACATGGAATTGAATAGGTTTCCAGTCCTGTTGAGTCCAAAGGCAGCATCACACAAGACACTGTGGAGGACGTTAAGACAGGGAAGGATGTAGTCCCTTTCTTTAAGGAACTCACAGTCTAATTAGGAAAGAAAAACAGGCACATTCAAAATAGCCAGGGAGCAATGATGAAATGATAGCATAATATAGAGTACAGTATAATTTAGGATAGATAGTCTAATGAAGCAGCTAGGTAGCACAGTGGATAGAGCACTAGCCCTGGAGTCAGGAGGACGAAGTTCAAAGGTGGCCTCAGACATTTACTAGCTGTGTGATCTTGGGGAATTTACTTTACCTCGGTTTCTCCAACTGTAAAATGAGGATAATAGTAACACTTGCTTCTCAGGTTGTTGTGAGGACCAAATGAGACAGTATTTTTTTTTTAAAACCCACTTAGCATAGTGCCTGGCATATAGTGTTAGATAAATATTTATTACCCTCCATAATATAATGGGTAC